CCAATTATCCAATCTATAATTATAAGAATAATTCTCTCTATTGCTCTCACAAAAAGGATGGCCAATAAGACAAATTGATGTCAATAATGCTTTTCTAAATAGTTCATTAAAAGAGGATATATATATATATATATATATATATATATATATATATATGAAACAACTTGGGGGGTTCAATAACCAACATCTTACTTTTGTCTACAGGTTTAAAAGGCCATATATGGTCTTAAATAGGCCCCTAGAGTTTGATTTGCCAAGCTATCTTCTACTCTGATCACTTTTGATTTTCAACCAGCCAAGTGTGTGATACTTCCTTCTTTATTCTTGTTAATACTGTTCACAATATATATATATATATATATATATGTGTGTGTGTGTGTGTGTGTGGATGACATTTTGATTACAAGGAGCTCTCAAGTATTCATACAAAATATCATTAACAAATTGAATACTATGTTCCCCTAAAAGATCTGGGAAGGTTACATATTTTCTAGAACTGCAAGTGCACTATGACACAAAAGGAAGTATGCTTATAACTTAATCAACATATATAAATAACTTGCTAACTAGACTTAACATGCAGGATTCAAAACCATTGAATACTCCTCTACCTCCTAGCTACAGAATGCCAATTGATTCAACAAATTATTTTGACAATCCTAGTCTATATAGAAGTGTTCTTGGAGCTCTACAATATGCCACTCTGACACAACCAGACATAGCCTACTTAGTGAATAAATTATGTCAATTCATGTACAAACCCCTAGAATTTCACTGGAGATGTGTAAAAAGGCTGTTACGATACTTGAATGGCACAAAAGACTAGGGATCACACTTCCAAAAATCACCAGTTTGATAATAACTGGGTTTGTAGACTCTGATTGGGCAACAGACAAGATAGACATGAGATCTACATCATGATCTATATATATTTGTATCCTTGTATCTAATTAATCAATTAATAATAGTTTCTTCTTGAGTTAGTTTCTCCACACTATGTTTTCCTTGCACAACCAAAAGGAATTAAACGGAGAATGAAAGGTTTATCCCCTTAATTAATTGGGCAACAAGACTTAAAAGGATATGGTGAGAGGGACAAGGTGCTTCATGAACAATTCTTCTAATTTATTGTACAAAAATTCCTTGTAATGTGGCTGCATGATAAGGCAAGGAATAAGGCTAATTAGATAGTTCTCTTTTGATTTATGGGATGGGAATGCAATTTGGCAAGTAAGTTTCTTAATAAACAAAGCTAAATTGGCAAGTTCATGTCCAATCAAATAATGAGAACTTGGAATTGTGTGACCAAACAGGTTGAGGGAATAATAAATATAAGTCTATAGTAATATAAATATAACAAAATCACCAATAAACACTAAAATTTCATTTATATCTTGGATCATGTTAAATTACTAAATAGGTGTTAAGGCCTTATTTATGATAAAATTCATACCTATAGCACATAATCTAAGACATTAACTAAATCACTCACAAGCACCAAAAGGAGGAAATAAAACAAAATAAACAAATTTTAAAATTTTAAAATTTCTCCAAGACGAAAAACATAAACACAGATTTAGGAGTGTTGCATATAACAAAAGATGAGTTAGTAGATTAAAAACTGTTATAAGACATACCAAAACTTAAAGGATATTTAACCTTTGAAGATGCATTGAAAACATTAGAGTTGCAATTATAGTCCTTTAAATACTTGGGTGACCTTTTTGTTCTAGGACTTATTTGGGCAGGCTGAAGCTAATGAGAATTTTGTCCTATGTCAAGCGCTTCATTGAGGTTTGGATATGTTTGTGTCTATGCTTCTTCTAGAACCGTAGTGTCAATTCCATGATCATTATTATTGTCATTATCAAAATTATAAGATAATGTAGGAATAGTTTATGATAGTTGATTTAAAATAAACTGATCTTCAATAAAAAAAAAAAAAAAAAGAAGCTTTTATTATGAATGTTAGAACAGTCAAGTCCATTGCTAGTTTCATGAATATTTTAAAATGGAAAAACATGTTCATCCCTAAACATAGAAATTTTTCAGGTTTGATCATTTAATAAAACATATCCTTTTGTTCATTTTTTTAAATTGAGAAAAACATATTTGGATGAATTTGAATCAAATTTCTTTTTATTTGTTGATAAAGTGTTTGCATAACATAAAGATCCAAACACTTTTGGTCAATTAAAATTTGGTTTAGCTTTGTACAACATTTTATGTGGAGAAAAATAATCTTAGGTGTGGGAAGCATGTTTATAATGTAGGTAGCATGTATCACAAAATAAGACCAATAAATTTTAAGAAATGAGATTGTATCATGAGAGCTCTAGCTACACTCAATAAATGACCATGTTTCCTTTCAACTATATTGCTTTGTCGTGAAGAATTGACACATAAAGTTTGGTGCACTATTTCTTAATTAGCAAAGAAATCTGCCATGAAAAATTCAATTCTATTTTCATTTCTTACAACTTTTATTATTGCTGAAATTTTGTTTGAACCAAAAAAACAAAGTTTTACAAGGTCTTAGCAATTTCATATTTTTGTTTTAAAAGAAAGATCCATGTGTATCTTGAATAATCATTAATAATAGTTAAAAAATATTTATACCATAAATAGATGGTATTGAGTATGGTCTCTATAGATCAACATGAATGAGATAAAATATTTGTGAGATTTAGATGTACTAATAGAAAAGATACTTTTTTTTTGCTTTGTATAATGACAAACATCACAAACATATAATTATCATATTTTGAAGTTGGTTATTTATATTACACTTTGACATTTTCAAGGTAATTGTAGACTATCTTTCTTAGACCGAGTGACTAAGACAAGCAACATTCTAATATATGCCTTCAGTCATTGAACAATTGAAAATAATTGTTCGGCTTTGAATAGAAGGTTATAAAAAAAGAAATATTTAAATATTTAAGTAAAACTAATTTTAATAAATATAATATCCATCAGTGTCCTCCTTATTAGGATTGTTTTCTTTACTAGTAACATAAAATTTTTCATTTGATTACGAGAAATTACTTAAACACTTTACTTACTTTACTTTGATGCTTAAATATGAAAGTTCATAACGACACTTCTATTGGTGAGTTAAATATAAAGGTAATTCAATAACTAAAAAATAATATAACATTATCTGAAATAATTATTGGTTCACCTTTCCTCACAATTTTCTAAAAAATATGTTATTACAATGAAAAAGAAATGAGTTGTTGTCCTCACAATTTTCTTGTATCTATTATCTAATAAAAATAGAAAATCATGGTTATTATGGCTTCCTCTAGAAAGATACTGCCCCTATATAATGACCAAGACAATGCCATACAAATCCCAAATAGATGCACTCAGACGTTTGTCTCATCAACTCAATTATCTTCACTTAGCTTCTCTAACCAACTGAATCATTTAGTCTATTTCAGATAACTTATTACAATAAAAGCAATAAAGAAAAAAAAAATTGTTAATGTGCATTATTTTGACAAATATATTTGAAATTGTGCAGTGAAGTGTTGTTTCGCAAATGACAAAACAACTTATCTTAAATTATAAATAATTGAGCTTTTGATACAATTTTTATAAATAGTTTTAAATTTTATAAATTCTTTTTAATTTAATTTTATTGAATATAATAAAATATTATTATTAATAATTAAATGTCTATTTATTAATATTTGTAAGACTGATTAAATTATAAAATATTTTTATTTAAAAATTAATTAATTTTATTAATACCAGTGCAATACAAAAAAGAGTATTTTCATTAAATATACGGTTAATATCAATTTAAACACAGACTCCACTATTGTTTAACAGTTAAAAATTAATTTTATTAGAATAATTTTTATTTACCTTAAAATAAATGCATGCTAATTCAAAATTAATTAAAAATATTTTATTATTAAATAAATCAATAATTAATTTGTTATGTAGCACACTAAAACAAAAACAAAAAATGTTTTTATATCATAAATAATGAATTTATTATTAAAAATTAAACAGTGGAAACCATTTGATAGAAAAGGGCATCGGCACTTTTACGAGCACCATTCCCGAAGGATAATTTGTGGGATGTGTCTCACTTTCGCATTCTTAAGGTAGCTTTATTGATAGTTTTGTATAATGAATCTTGAACTCAAAATTAGTTCTCACAGAAAATTATTCGTAATCATTAGTAAAAGTGCTCTGCACAGAAGAAACAGTGTTTAGATAAGAACAAAGAAAAATGACACTTTTTAAAAAAATAATTTTTTAAAATATTTCTTTTTTTTAAAGTTTTAGTAATATCCACACACAAAAAATTCAAAAATTCAAGTTTTAATTTTATCACTAAAATAAAAAATTCGTCAAATACGTATAACACTCGACCAACATAAAATAAATTTAAGAATCTAATTTAGATTCAACTACTAAAGGTGCTCAAAGAGGGAATCGCTCGAATTCTCAAAGATCTTTAAGTTGGTAAGACGACTCATTCCGTCGGGCAGCGATGTCAATTTTGGGCAGTATGAGATTTTGATCTCCTGAAGCGACGAGAGATTGCAAATCCAATCTGGCAAAGCCTAGCCTTTGACAATCATATAATGAAATTTGTCGCAGAGAAGGAAGGCAGTTGGTATCGTCTTTAAATTCCATTTCAAATTGCTCGAGTGTTTCAGTTTTATACCATCCAATTTCAAGGGACTCGAGAGAAGTCAGATTTTGCATCTAACCCTTTGGCAAATTCCTAGGATCATAAATCCTCAAATGTTTGAGCATGGAAAGAGGAGCAGCGAAGAAAGATGAGTCAGATGAACATGTTGACGCTGTTGTGTTTAGTGTTGCTGTCTATGGCTCCACGCCGCCTTCAGGCCAATGTAAAACCTTAACGCTCGGAAAAGTAGGCATGCAAGTCAACGTTGGACACTTAAAGATTTGTAGTTGAGAAAGATGAGAAAGAGGTAAGGAGAGATTATCTGAATCATTGATATCATCCCCTAAGCTTCCGACAATTCTCTAACACGAGACTCTCCAAAGAGAAACATGTCCACAACATTTGTGAGGAGAGAAAGCCAGTTTGGGAAAAGTGCCTGGATAATGCAACACATTAAATCGCTTAAGATTATGGTGGGGCTCAAAGTTTTTTAATAACTGTAACATCTTGTTCTTCCCATAATTTCCAGAAGTCACCACTTAAAACATCTTTACATTCACTTTCTTTATCTTGTCCTCGCAGGAGGCCTCCCAGTGTTTTAACTGCTAATGGAACCCCTTTACATTTTTTGGCTATTTCTTTCCCCATTGATTCATGATTTTGATTTACTCTTTTAGAATCATACTCAAATGCAATGTTCTTCAACAAACTCCAAGATTCTTCATCGGTCAAACCTTTCAAAGGATAGGAAGTGCTGGCAGTCATTGTCTTTGCTACATTTTCACTTCGGGTTGTCACTAAAATCTTGCTGTCTTGAGCACCACACACCAAGTAAGTTCTCAATTCAGCCCATTTTTTATGACTCTCATTCCAAACATCATCCATAACTAAAAAATATTTTTTACCACTCAAATTTTCACGAAGCTTTTTTTGCAAGTTGTCTAATGATAACTTGTCTTCTATTTGGCCACCAATAACTGATTCTAATGTTTTCTTTAGAACAGTTTTCACATCAAAATGATCAGAGACACACACCCACATTTGCTTTTCAAAATAACTCTGCACTTCTAAGTCATTATACACCAATTGAGAAAGAGCTGTCTTCCCTAAACCACCAATGCCAACAATAGCAATCACAGAAACTTTTTGGCTTTCATGTGGCGTTTGTCTCAAAAGACTAATAATCTCCTTTTTATCATCATCTCTTCCAATTATATCTGATTCTAATACAAAAGAACATGTTTCCCTCCATTCACTATTAGTTTGCTTAACCACTCCTGATCTTGGACTTAAATTCAAATCCTTCATTTCTTTTACTACACCATTAAAACTTGCTTGTATTTCTTTAATTTTGTCAGGCATTTCACTGTATGAAGGAATTTGATTTGAAGATAAAATGGAAAGAAGTACCTTGTTTACTTCTTTTCCTTCTGCTGCACCCAATTTGTCCCTCCTAAATTGGATAGCAAGGTCATCTAAGAAGTCATCTGCATGATGAAGTACTTCTTTGAACCTTCTAATCCAAACTCGCACACGAGCTTGCTCTTGTTTATCGTCAACATCAAGGAGCACATCATTGATGGATTCAATTGTGTTCTAGAGCTCTTCCAACTCTTCCGTCGCATTATACTCCTTTCCAAATTCAATAAAATCTGCAGAAGCCAACCTGCAAATGAGATTTGAAGTAACAACAAATGGAACTTACTCAGCCATCGTTAAAATGATCAAGAAAGACTCTATAGAAGGGTGCTGAGAGGGAAGTTGAGCAATGTGTAAAAATATTGGCATAAGTATCGAGGAAAAGGAAAAAAAATATAATAATAATCTACAAATCCTACTGATTGAATCATCTTTTAAACCGTTTGCGTTGTCTCAGATGTTTAATAATGTAAACACTAAAAGTTAACACTATCAAAACTTTATTATGTGCAGGAAAAGAGAGAAGAAAAATGAAACGAAAAAAATTATAAAAATTATTGAACAACAATAAAAGAGATATTATTCATTATGAAAATTAAAAAAAGAAAATATGCGAAATTCTAAAACAAACAGACGATCTAAGAAAATAGAAAATAGGGAAAAAAAAACCTAAACCGTAAGCTATGATATTATGCAAGAATAGAAGAAAGGCCGCAAAAAGAACCTGTGAACGGAGATTAGAGGCAACAGCAAATGGAATGTGTTCCGCCATCGAAATACTGAATACCTGGTGAGGAGGAAAATAGATCTGCACTCTGAAACATAGTATTGCTTTTATAGCTGCTCAGGACAGGGATACATTTGTAATTAGCTATCTCAGTCAAAAGTCAAACCATCGTTTCTAACCCTTATTGGTTCAATGCTTTGATCTTATCTTCAATCTAATATTTTAATTGCCCAATAATTAGTGTGGCAACGAGTGAAACTGTTTCTGCTTTTAAATATAATAATAATTTAATAAAATGCGGAGATTAATTACCGTCACTTGATTTTCTCGGTTCTGCTTAAGTTTGTTTGTTGTGTAGTAGTTCACGAGTTAAATTGTGGAGAGTTAGAAAATTGGAAAGTGATTTGTTATCCATCAAGGAATGCTATTCGAAATGAGAGCAACAAGGTACATGTGTATGCAGGTCTCATCTTTTATTCCTCATTTTATAACCATTTAATCTAGTTAAAATTTATATAACGTTCATATTTTGTTACTAAAATTCCATTATATACTAAATTTAAATAAATTTTTGTAAATTAGTTGATATAATAAAAAACTCTTTTTTTTAAAAGAAAAATCAAACATATTCTAAATATTTATAATTTATTTTCATTGATTTTATTTTATTATTTTTTTATTATTTATATAATTTTTGTTATATTTTTAATACTCTATTTCTCTGTGTAGGATGTAAGGGTTCACATGAAATTGATTCTGTAGGAGTTAGGTGCGTCTTTCTTCAACTATTTTGTTGACCTATTTTTACTATGCTTCTTATTTTTCTTATTTTGTATATTATATATCCTTTATTTTATTAAAAAAATAATCATTTTTAAGTTTTATTAATTTAATGCTTTGATCTTATCTTTAAATTTTATTTATTTTTAATATTTTTCTAATAATTAATTATTAAACTTGTTTGAAACTTTTTTTTTACGTGGTTATTAATTTTGTACTTCACGGATGTATAATTTTTTATTATTATTTTTTAAAATTGACATATAAAAAAATAAAACTTCTTTTTAATCAATTTAGTATATTAAACAGAAAAAATTTTGAAAAATGATAATTTATATTAAAATTTTAAATAATTTTATCTACATAACTTACCAATTTTTACAAAAATAATATTAAAAAAATAAAAATTTACTTGTTTAGAGCTGCACCTAATTTATTTACATGGATAGACCGGTTTGCTGTACACGTTTGAAATTCGGTTCCCAGGGATAGATTAATTTATTTAATTTTATATTTTTTATAAAATAAACAAAAGTATTAAACAATGATAGACTTTTTTTTAATATACTAATTTTTTTTTATTTATCTCAATCACCCATTTTAATATTTATTTACCTAACTAATAATATTTATCTCAACATGTTTTTATTTATTTTAATAATATTTAATTAATATATATATTAATATTAAAGTTATTAATAAATTAAATAATAAAATTATATTTAATGAAAATAAAATATTAAATTTTTTAAAAATTAATAAATTAGTTTGTAAAATGATATGAATAAAAATAAAATAATTTGATTTATGATAATATCTTTGTTTTTTAATTTATTGTATGTAAAATTAATTAAATGAAATCATTAAGATTATTTTTGTTAGATAATATGAAATGAATTTATAGATAAAAAATTAAATAAAAAAGTTAAACAACAACTAAATGAAACTTTCATAATTAAAATAAAATGAAACAGACATGGAAAGCAGAAAAGAAAATACAAAATACACATTTAATTGGTTAAAAATTAAAAAAGATCTTCTATTGCATATTTTTTCTCTATGATGGTCAATATACTTACTGTCATGCCAATCACGAAGTCTTTCTTCAACTGTTGGGGGTCGTAGGTCTTTTTTTTTACAAACAATTCAATCTTTGACCAGTTATGTGTACGTTGAATGCTTGAATGAAGTTCAAATATTTTTTTCCATTGTGCGATCATCTGTTGCACATCAGAATCATTTTTTATTTCTATGCAATCATAGACGAGTTTTTGATTGATGACCCGGATCGTTCGTCTATAATTGATTATTGTAATTTGTTTCCTATCTCCATAATCCAGTACCTCACTTACCTCTTGAAACAATTGATTGAAAGTCCAGCTGTGTTGGATGATCATTCTTATTGGGTGAAGACATTTAAACATAAGGCCATAACCATGTGGACAGTTCATGACGGTGGCATGCTGGATAGGTCCCCCAAAATATATTATAGCTTTGCTAGAAGTGATGAATTGAGGGTTTGATGAAGAGCTTGGGGTTGGAGGGTTTAGAAGCGTCATAATTTATTTTGTTGATCTTTGATAGATGACATAAATTTCAATGATTAAAGAGACTGAAAAATTGGATTTCCAGGAAAGCATCTGCACCATATGAACATCAGTTAAAATAAAAAAAGCTTCAAATATAACTAAACCCTCACCACTGTGATTTAGTTTTCGATAGTACAAGTTAGTGAACTGGGTGTTATGATCAATGCCTAAAGCATTACAAATTCTTTGTTTCAGCTCCACGAATGTGCACTCATGTGGGATTGTAAATAATTTTGGAGATGAACACTGAAAGCTCACACCTTCGTGATTATAGGTAATCTGGCCATTTGCAAACATAACAGCTAGATGAGAATTTGTGAAATTGTCGATGTTTGTTATACCGAAGTCCTCCATCTAAAGTGTCGGATGTTAATGTTATATTTTGTAATGAATGTGTGGTGTTTGTTAACTACATGATATGTCTTTTATAGACAATTTGTAAAGTAGGTGCTTGAAAAAAAAAGGATGGTCAAGATCGTTTATAATATGTTCAATGGTTGAGATTAATTTTATATTTCCTGATATACTATTGAGTGGTCAAATTAAGACATAATGCAACGTGCCATTGTTTTATGAGATTCTTGATAAAAGTGGTCAGTGACTTATCTTATTTTAGATGAGACAGTTGAAGTGAGTAGTTGCTGATAAAGTTGGTCTAAGAACATCGTGTAATGTGTTATTGTCTTTATCAGATTGTTGGTAAGTGTGATAATTTATTAAAGGGTTTTATGTATAGACATTGACCTTAATAATGGTACCATTGGATTTTTTTGTACGATTAAATTGTTGAGGGACAAGTCTTTTTGTTTATCTTGTTTGCTGTTAATATTTATTTTTGTTGTATGTTTGTCATTTATTATTTCCAGTATTGTAATTTTTTCATTTTATTTAATAAAAAAAATAGGATACTTGGTGATTAAAAAAGGTATATGCATAGAAAAGACAAATGATTATACACAGTGGAAACATATTCTAATGACACTCTGACGCAGTGACATAAAACAATTTATTCCTGCCACCCTGACATAAAGTTAATGACAATCTGACACACTAATGCAACGTCATTAATTTCTAACGTAAAGTTAATGACACTCTGACGCACTAACATAAAACAATTGATTCCTGACACCCTAATCTTTCTGGTAAAAAAGAAGGAAGGATTCCTGATTATTCAATATTGAATCAAATCATATGTAATTGATTCCTGACACCCTAACGTAAAGTCAATGACAATTTGACATACTGACGCGGTGTCATTGATTCCTGACGTAAATTTAATGACACTATGACGCACTGACATAAAGCAATTGATTCCTAATACCCTGACGTAAAGTCAATGACAATTTGACGCACTGACGCGGTGTTATAGATTCCTGATGTAAAGTTAATGACACTTTGACGCATGGTCCATCATAATAAACAGTATCCCGAATAGTGTAAGACTCCATTGATAAGATGAAACCTTATATAATATCTCTTCTCTTCTCTTCTCTTGGTCGAATGCATTCCTCAATATTCATATTTTCATTCTTCAAAAATGAAGGTTGAATGAAGAACATGAACACGAATATGACTATTTATAATGGCACATTAGATTCCCCGTCATTCAATGCCATATCACATTTTACGAGTGATTTTGACCTCTCTATGACACCATTCTCTCCTCCCAACCAATAGATAGTGACTAGTCAGTCACGCTCAACATTAGATTCTCTTCTCATTCAAGCCATCTGCAAACGAGCTTTCTCTCCTCCCAACCAATAAAGATGCCTTCTGACATTCACATAAATTAAATTAGTTTTTTTTGAAAATGACATTATTTAATATTATAATTTTTAATACCCTAAACTCTAAAACTTTATTATTATAATTTTAAATAAATTTTATTTGAGAATAAAAAATTTATTTTTAAAAAGTAAATAAAATATTAAATTATAAGTTAATTATTTATACTTGAGACAAATATTTTAATATTAACGGTTTCATATTACTAAGGTAATATTGATGAAGACAAAGTGCATTAACAAAGATGATAACAAATTCATAACAACATTAATAATTAACTATCTCCGTAATGGTGGCCAGTTCCACAACGAGGGCGACGTCTGTGACGTGGTGGGTTTCGTCGTTGTGGTTGTTGCTCTAGAATTTCAGGATGAACTTGTAGAGGATTTGGATCATCATGAAGGTGTAGTTGTTGGAATGCATTTGATGAATTACCAGGTTCATTAGCAAAATCCGGTTGGTAAAGAGACTGCATATAAGTTTGTGTTGAAGATGGAGTTGTAAAATCAACTCCAAATAAGTTTGTAAAAAAATCCTCCGATGTTGTTGCAGACGAATGTCTTGTATTAATAATGTTTGCTTCTGGCGTAATGTTCAGAGAAATTGATGCAGTCTCGTGGTACGACGGTGTGGAAGTCGTACCAATTTCAAATGTGTTGGTAGTCCTTAATTGTTGGTCACTCCTCCTTGGATCTTGTAGTAGTGGTGGCACATATAGAAAATAGATGGAATTGGCAATGTACCATTCCATGTATTCTTGTGTGTGGCACAATGGGCCTTGCATTGGATGACCCGTTATTGTGAGCTCACGTCTGTTGTTCCATATCTCGATCCATTGAGCATGTCTTGTAACCCAATTTTCATCTTGTCTTCCTTTCATGTCAATTTTGT